TAGCTGTTTGTGTCCATGTGGAAAGTTAATCTAATAGGAGTGATTTTATAATTATTTATCAGCTGCTGCACTTGCAAAGTTCGAATGATGAAAGTGGCAGAGTCTTCATCCCTTTAGATATGATTTCCCTTAGGGAGTATCTCACCAAAAATGAATTTTTGTTGCAGGGGATGCCTGAAATCTGAGTTACCCTTTAAAGAACAAGTTCACCTTTCATAACATGTTACATGTTACATCCATATTCAAGGTGTAACATGTTGTAAATGGAACCCACTCCTCCACTTTGACAGCTAGCAAGGGATCTTTTTCCATTAGCTGTAAAAAAAAAAATGCGCCCGCTCAGCCGCATCACTCATTCTCAGTCCTCTGTGAATGAGAAAACTACAAGTCCCAACAGCCTTAGTGGCTGTCAGCTTGAAGTTCTCAATGAACTACCACGGTGCTGTTGAGCATACATCCTGATGCAGGATCTGCAGGAGACCTGCATGGCATCAGCAATATGCTGATCGCTGGTGCAATGTTTTACAGACTCCTGCAACAAAAAATAATAAATGCACTTTTTTCTGTAAAAAAAAATCGCATTTTCATATTTTTTGTCAAAAGGTGAACTTATTCTTTAAGTAAATAAAACCCGACAAAGGTTCTAACCCTTTTTCACTCTGTATAAAAAAATTGCGCTGTGCTTTACTTACCCAAATGATCATCTTTTATTTGCATGGCAATGTTAAGAGTTAAAGCATTTCAGAGTTAGCCTGCTTTTCTGTGATTGGTGGAGCCTAATCAAATCATTCTAATGTGCTAGCATGATGTGTTTTACTTATACATATATATGACAAGATCAATTCTTCATTCCGCCACTTCCCACCATGTAACAATGTTTACGGCACAGCACTGCCCATCATATTACAATACAAAATTGAAATCACCCCTACCGTGCACAGCATTGGACTATTATAAAGATATATATACATATATATATATATATATTATTAAAGGGGGTTTGCAAGTATATCAGATTTGAAATGCTGTTTGTTGACCCTTGACACCTGTCTATATTGCTGATATCTTGACCAAACCATGGATTGCAAAGCATCACGCAAATGATTAAAAGATGAAGACAGAATGTTGAGCTTACACACCTGACCTAATTGTATTCCAGCTATGTTTTATAAAAAAACACTTCTACAAAATGCATAGCCTTGGTATATGCAGTTCTGGTTTTCCATTTTTCTTATTCATTTACATGATTTAAAAAGTCATAGACATAGAAACAAATGTATTGTAGGATGCCTTTGTTGACCCCTCCTTCTGAACAGGTGAAAAGGCTTGAATGTTTCTGGAAGCAATATGTTAAAGTGTTACATTTGTGGGGGAAAAAAAGTGTTACTAAACCCACAACAGTAAAATCAGTCTGTATATGCAGTGAAGCATGCTTGTTATATTCACTGTGGAACTTAAGGGGTTAATCATCCACATTGTGTACAAAGAATGTTTGATCCTGTCTTCTCTGATCCTCCCCTTCTATGTTCCCCATTTCATCTCCTGATAGAACACAGCCTCAGGGACACTTTGCGCATGCTCAGTTTGATGTGTACTGCTAGAGGTTTTTCTTTGGGAGGGTGCATGTGATCAGCACAGGGCCAATCAGCACTGTCCAGACAGAGGGTCAGTGGTTATGAAATCTCATAGGGCAGTGAGAGGAGAATGAAAACTCCTCCTACAAGCTTTAACCATTGCTCAGCTGGACACTGGTAGAAGTCACAAGACTGCTCTAACAGCTGATGAGAAAAGCTATTTAGCAGTTTATATTTACTAAAATAATTTCACGTCCATGTTCTGTGTACTGTGGGAGACCAGATATAGTGAATGCAGGGTCCTGGGTTTAGTAACACTTTAACATCCAGGTAAAGGTGGTCAAACAATTGCCAAATCCAGTTACAAACCTCATAAAGTCAACAGAAAACTTTCTTCACCTTCCCTGACTGAGCCAAACCCTCCATAATTTGTGTCTTGCATGCTCCCCTTTCCAGACACTGCAGTTCACAGTGTGAGGGTTTCAACAACAGAAGAAGTGCTGTCAATCCAGAAATTAGCGGGTTTGGCATGACCAGGTGCTGATTAATAAGCTACAGGTGTCAGGACCAGGATCTGAACATACAACCTCTACTGTGCCTGGCAGTAGCTCTTCTTGCTGATCCACTTAGATGCTGGGCATCACCCTGTCTTACCTCTTAGGACAGTCTTGCCTTGTCTCCTGTTTTCAGTGAACCTTGAACTCTTTGCTCCTCCCATGAACTTCCTGATTTAAGCCATGTCTCTTCACTTTCACTTTGCAAAATTATTATACTCTCTCCAGCCAATGTTTTGCTCCTTTGTGTACCTTCAACTGTCCTTATCTCCACTACCACTTGTTACTGACCTTTGGCTTGCACCTCAACTATGCTTCCGCTTGATCTCAACCTGCAACCACTCTTTAGCGACCTTTGGCTTATTTCCTGACTATGCTTCTGCTTGATTCCTAGCTGCTAAATCTGCTTCTTGACCTGGCCTGCTTACCTCTTGGTGGAGCTATCCTGAGGAACGTGTCCTAAGAGTAATCCATCTGCACCATCAGGAGCTCTGGTGAATACCGGTTAGTGCTTAGACCCCGCACCTTGACCAATCTATGTCATCTGTCAGGGTGTCCTGGTTGCGTACTTATCCAGCTGGTTGGTGGGAGCCTCTCCACTGCTAAAGCTATTGGTCTCCAAACCAGACCCCTGACTGTGACAACAACAGTGGAGTCACTAGAGGGGTGCTGGCCGCACCCAGTGATATCATCACATGGGGTGACTTCCCTCCTGCAGCCCTAGGAACAGCCGTGCCATGCGGGGGGTGAAATGTCAGGTCCTGGAGGGGAGGGGGGCTGTTCGATCACACCCAGGCCAATTCACACCCAGCCTGTCCCCCGTAAACTGGAGCAGAGCCCACCTCTGCCCTCTGATTGGATGGCTCCTACTACTACACAGGATTCTCTCTCCCATTCACAGATTATGTTATGGGCCATGTAATCAGTTAAAGAAAAATACTCAATGGCTTATAGGGCAGGAGGGTGTGTGCCCCCATTGGATAATCCTTGACCAAAATAATATCAATGAAGGTCCTTGTTGACCCTGTCCCACCAGACATCCTTCAGTTGAAGGGGCCCAGCAAAATACTGACTACACCCTGCAAAAAGATCTGTCAATGGGGAGAGTCTGATCAGTCACAAGATTCTCTCTCCCATTCACAGATTATGTTATAGACCATGTAATCAGTTAAAGAACATTACTCAATGGCCTATAGGGCACGAGGGTGCGTGTCCCCATTGGATCATCCCTGACCAAAATAATATCAATGAAGGCCCTTGTTGACCTTGTCCCACCAGACATCCTTCAGTTGAAGGGGCCCAACAAAATATTGGTGGCCGAACATCATCTGCATCAAACCAGATGCAGCCTCTACTTGGGTGTCTTGACAGCCTGTTGGGCCGGCTGTTAAAATGAAAAATACAGCAACGGATTAGTCCATCCATGCTCTATATTACAGTGATGGAAGAATCAGTTAGATTTTTTTCATTCAGTGATAAATTCCTGTCCCTTGTCTAAGCCCTTCCAATTCACTATCCCAATATTCAATAAAAGTGTTGTTATTCTTGACTGGAGCATTCTCATTGGTGAAAAAGCAGGTGGGTGTAGCCTGTTTTTCTTTTTCAGTCCTCTTCATACAACACATTTCACTATTTAATTATCAAAAACAAAGCTCTACATGTTAATATGAAATGTATTTTTTTTTTTAAAATAATATCAGCAATTAAGTCCAGGTGCCATAAGCTCTTTGTAAATGATCGATTTTGGCTTCCAAAGCTGGTCGTACTGTCTTGCTGAAGAAGATTTGTTAATCACGCAAACACACAAGTAACTGTATTGCAAGCAGCTTTAATCAATGTGACTGTACTGTCAAACGGTAAGATAATTTATTAAAGAGAAAGGCAATGGGTTATTTCATTAGATTACATCTGTGCCTCTGTCGGACAGTTTGTCTGACACTCTTCAGCTGACTACGTAGCGCTCAATATCACACAAGCGAACTGCCCTGATTTATATCGAAATTAGATTACTAAACTTAATTTACAGGAGTAACGCACCCACAGCTGATAATTCAGCCAATAGTAGGTGGCAATAGGATGAATTTCTAGAACATTTTTATATTTTTCAATAACTGTAGACATCAAACATGAATGCCTTTATCGTGTGTAGGGGTCTTCAACTTTCAAACCTACGTTTCTATGCACCTCATGGTATAAGAAATACGTGTGCTTATAATAAATGCCACTTTCTTACAGAATGTTTGATGGCAATTACAGTATGTTGTGTAGACACCTTCAGGAAGCTGCCATTAACATTGAATTCTCTATTTAAGGGGTAAGTGTACATATTGTTCACTTATCCTTAGTGGACTCAGACCCTTGTACAAAATCACTGGACCCCACTTAGTGCACTGGAAGGGCACTGGAATTGCATATAACCTATATCGACAGAAACATGGGAGCTGCCATTGCTAATTTTGTTTTGAAGAAGCTAATTACTTGGCCACCCTTGCAATACTTCCAGAATTACTGTCATGGCACTGTCAGAACTACCTACTTCCCATGTGCCAAATCTGTGTCAGGAACCATAAACCAGGTGGAGACAAAAACCGCAGTTAAAATCACACTTTAATGAAATAGCAAGTATAACATCAGGAACATAGTTAAAACAGAAGCCAGGGTTGGGATGCCAGTATGGGTAATCAGATGAGCCAGGGTCAGGAAACCAGAAGTTATGTAGTCAGGAGCCAAAAATCAGGAACAGGAACCAGAAAAGAAGTCAGCCAGACTGAGCTGTACACAGGAACACAGGCAGACAAAGATGTCAAACTGCCCCCCCCCCCCCCGTTCATGATGTGCGAGTGGATCAGGGGTGGACTGACAACTCATGGGGCCCCGGGCAACAGGGGATCATGGGGCCCCTGTGTCCTTGCCCAAACTCAAAAAAGCCTATGAAAAAGGTACCAGGGGCATCTCTCATGGGGACACCTACTGACCCCGGGCCCTCGGGCAGTGCCCGAGTTTCCAAATGGTCAGTCCACCCCTGGAGTGGATCCACTTAGGGTATGCACAACCCACAACACCATACCTGCTCCCAGTGCTGGGCTGACAAGAGTAGTGATGCTGCTGTCACTACTCCTGTCAGCCTTGTAAAAGAAGGAACTCAGCACAGGTTGCCCCCATCCTCGCAATAAACCATTGCACCCAGGGCAACCACCTCTCCCGCCTACCCCTTGTCCCAACCTTGGACACTAAAAAAAATCCTAAAACTTGAAACTGAAGATTAAAGTGCCACACCAAAGTATTAGAGTCCAAAATATGGTTTTGTTCCAAACATATAATGGGTGCCATTTATTGGGGGCCACTTATTGCCCCCTTTATCAGGGCTTAAAAAGATACGGAATCAGTTAGTATGACTGATTTCAGCAACTGTTACTGAGTCCTTTTTAATCAGCAGGATTTAATGCTATGGTCCTAATCCATACCGGTTGATTCCATATCTATATTTTAAGACCTGATGTAGGGTGTGAGCCTGGACACTAATAAAAAGCCTACCTAAAACTTGAAACTGAAGATTAAAGTGCCACACCAAAGTATTAGAGTCCAAAATGTGGTTTTGCTCCAAACATATAGTGGGTGCCACTTATTGGGGGCCACTTATTGCCCCCCTTATCAGGGCTTAGAAAGATATGGAATCAGTTGGTATGACTGATTTCGGTGACTTTTACTGAGTCCTTTTTAATCAGCAGGATTTAATGCTATGGTCCTAATCCATACCGGTTGATTCCATATCTTTTTAAGACCTGATGTAGGGTGTGATGTAGGGGGCTTCCAACCAGCGTTGACCAAAATTGGGCTTTAAAGAGTGAATATAATGTCTGTGCCATTTCAATTGGTTCTCAAATACTGTGATCTTACTTCCTATGTGATAAATTCACTTTGATAGCTTAATTCGAAAAGCTGATGCCACATCTATCATAACATGTTAACCGTACACTGAAAAAAGATGAACTTTCTAATAACTTTCCTGATTAAAATAAAAGAAATCCGCATATTTCCTGTAAGATAATCATTGTTTTAATACAGATCTGGATCCGTTTGGCATTAAACCCGGCAAAGCCTCTTAAGAGCTTTATCCTTTTTAAATTTTCCTTTTAAATTCAAAGGATTTTTTCTAACAATTCTGCTGCCTTGTATGTTTTCTTTTCCTGTTTCTAGTTCCGGACGATAATGTCATTTTTATTTGCATTGTAACTTATATTTCTGCATGGGAAGCAGCTTGGGTCCTTTTTTTTTCTTGTTTTTGTTTTTTTTTTCCCTTCTTTTGTTATGAAATCTATTTACTGCGAAATCAGTGACGGAGTAGTAACTATTGCTGGAGCATTTTAAGCTGTCCTCATTATTTTTTGGTTGCACACATTTCTTCAATTGTTTGAGGAAATGAGCAATTTGTTAGAGATGCATAATAGAAGACAAAAAAAGTTAAAACTCAGTTGGCCAGCTGTAATTGGTGCCTAGTCTGCAAATGTTTCGAGATGACCTTATGGAATAACAGATCTGAAAGCTAAAGAGAAACAAAGCTTGATACAGAAAGGTACTATGTATACGGTGTTATTATGCTGCTATGAGAATGCAAATCCACATTTTTTTAAGTGGTTGTAAACCTCAGACTTGAAATATGAACAAAGTATATCTCTCTATAGTGTGTACTTGTCTCAGTTAAAGTGTTACAAACCCCAAACCCTGTATTCATTATATCTGGTCTCCCACAGTACACAGAACATGGAAATGCAATTATTTTAGTAAATATAAACTGCTAAATGCCTTTTCTCATCAGCAGTTGGTTGCAGTCTTGTGACTTCTATCAGGGCTGGCAGAGCACTGGTTAAAGCTTGTAGGAGTTTTCTTTCTGCTCTAGGAGGATGCAGAACCCCTGACCTCTGTCTGGACAGTGCTGATTGAGCCTGTGCTGACCACATGCACTCTCCCAAGAAAAAAAAAGCACAGTGGGCAGCACAGTGGCTAAATGGTTAGCACAGGGACGGACTGACCATTTGGAAACTTGGCCACTGCCCGATGGCCCGAGGTCAGTAGGGGGCCCCATGAGATGCCCCTGGTACCTTTTTCATAGGCTTTTTTGAGTTTGGGCAAGGACACAGGGGCCCCATGATCCCCTATTGCCCAGGGGGCCCATGAGTTCTCAGTCCGCCCCTGGGTTAGCACTTCCTCCTGTCAGTACTAGGGTTGTTGGTTTGAATCCCAACCATGGCACCTCCTGTCTGGAGTTTGCATGTTCTCCCTGTGCCTGCGAAAGTTTCCTCTGGGTTGAAGACATGCTGGTAGATAAACTGGATCCTGTCTAAATTGGCCCTAGTATGTGTATGTATGAATGTAAGTTAGGGACCTTAGAGTGCACAGGCCTTGAGGGTTAGGGACTGATGTGAATGTACAATATATATGTGAAGCACTGTGTACATTTATGGCACTATATAAGTACCTGTAGTAAATAAATATATATTTTAAAAAAAAACTCTCTAGCAATACACAACAAACTGGGCATGTGCAGTGTGTCTCAACACAATATGTCTTTTCAGGAGATAAGAGGGGGGCACTGGAAGAAGGGAAGGATCAGAGAAGTCAGGATTAAACAGATTTTTTACACAATGCAGATGATTAACCCCTTAGGTTCCACAATGAGTACATCAAGCATGCTTTACTGCATCCTAGATTGTAAGCTCCAAGGAGCAGGGCCCTCGAATCCCTCTTGTATTGAATTGTATTGTGACTGTATTGTCTCCCACCATAATGTAAAGAGCCGAGCAAACTGTCGGCGCTATATAAATCCTGTATAATAATAATAATATTAATATACAGACTGATTTTGCTGTTGTGGGTTTAGTAACACTTTAAGTGTACTAAGTATCATTTCTGTCTGCTGCTTTGTTCCTCTGCTGTCAGCATGAATCATGTCTGACAGGTTTTCCTGACACCATGGGAAAAATGGTGACAGGGGAGGTACTGTTCCTGTGTGCTGTGTGGAGGGGGTGTGTCTCTTTCCTCCAATCAACTTTCAGATCTCTCCTCACTGAGCTCAACAGAGTTTAGCTTCAGCTCTCCGCCCCCTTTTTTCTAAATGCTCAGACCAGCCTATAAGTTCAGCACTTTTAACAGCTGTAGAGAGAAGAGAGCTACAGATAAACAAGTACAACTTACGTAGGAGGATTTGTTTCATCTCTGTGTATCACCTGAGGCAAGCCACTTTTTTATTTTTAATAAACTGCAAAGATTTCAAAACAAACTTCTTTCACATTGCCATTATAGGGTATTGTTTGTAGAATGTTGAGGAAAAAAATGTATTTAATCCATTTTGGAATAAGGCTGTAACATAACAAAATGTGGCAAAAGTTAAGCGCTGTGAATACTTCGGGATGCACTGTAAATAAGCATCTCCATTGCAAAACATTTATATTAGGATCAAGAAATAATCTATGGTTTCAATTGCAAGAAAAAAAGAAACTCTGCTTCACTTAAAACACACAGCTGACACTAATGAGGCTGCAATACTGTCATTTACATACTGAATGAGATAAATATTGAGATAATTAACACTGAAGATGAGTTTTGATGGTAATATACCAATTTTCCTAAGAACTATTGAAATTAAATTGTTAGCAGTAGTTACAGAATACAAAGTTCATATTTTGTCTAGGAGATAACTAGCTGTGGCCAGATTAAAATTCCCCGTGAACACTAATTTATGCAGTTTAAACTTTCTTTTAATTTATATTGTCTGTCTATTTCAGAGAGAACTGTTTCTCTCTTGGTGGGCACATTTCCAAATAAAAGGCGCATTGTTGAAAGTAATGATTTCAGCATTTCAAGTGTGTAATCTAAGAAAACAAAGTGCAGGTATAGAATTCTGTTTAAGTTTCTATGAACAACAAAATAACTAGAAGAGCGCACCAGACATGTGTATTACCTTAGATACCACTTATTTAAAAAATACACCATGGTCAGGGGCGGACTGACAACTCATGGGGTCCCCGGGTAATAGGGGATCATGGGGCCCCCATGTCCTTTCCCACGCTCAAAAAAGCCTATAAAAAAGGTATCAGGGGCATTTCATGGGGCCCCCTACTGACCCCGGGCCCTTGAGCAGTGACCGAGTGCTCGAATGGTCAGTCCGCCCCTGCCAGTGGTCATACTCACAAACCAACTAGATCCCAGGCTCAGATTGCTAGGAAACCAGCCTCAGTGTAAAGCAAGTGCAACAACGGTAAGTGGACCTGCATGACACTCCATGGCAGAGGTAAGAGCTTGCACATTTTGAGGGATGTACCCTCTCCCTCAGAGCACAATCTTAAGAGGGCAGCAAGGCATGTAATGGCTATTTTTTAAATTCATCTGGCTTTTTTTCACCTGAATCTGCTAACCCTAAGTAGGTTGGTCACATGACCAATGTCATGGCATCTATTATGGCTGAATGGGACCAACCTAAACAACTTGAGACCCATCTCTTTGCTCCCATTTACCTCTAAACTTTTAGAACACTTAGTCTTTAACCGTTTGATCTCCTACCACACTGAAAACAACCTTCTTGATCCTGTACAGTCTGGTTTTCGCTAACAACACTCCACAGAAACATCCTTACTAAAATTCATTAACGGTTTTCTAGCTGCTAAAACCAATGACCACTAATCCATACTCTTACTACTAGACCTTTCTGCGGCCTTTGACACAGTTAACCACCTGCTCCTCCTCAATAAACTCCACTCTCTTGGCCTTCAAGATTCTGCTCTTTTCTGGTTCTCCTCCTATTAACTATTTCACTATTTGTTACCTACAACTCTGTCTCCTTCTCTCCAATACATTTTATGTAGAGATCCCCTAAGGCAGCGGTATCTAAATGTCAAACCGCGGTCCGCGAACGGCCCCAGCCCAACGCTGAACAACGAGGTCATCACAGCAACATGACATCATGCGTGCCCCCCTTTCGACTCACTATCTCTCCTGCTCCCATCCCTGCCTGTACACAAGCATCAATTAAGGATCCAGGCAAGCTCCTTTCTGCCCTCAAGGTAGGGTGTAGTCTTACAGGGGCACTCTGATGGGCACATTGAATGTTAAGGGGCACTCTGATGGGCACAACATAGAATGTGCCCATCACAGTGCCCCTTTGACATAACATGTGTCCATTAGAGTGCCCCTTAACATAAAATGTACATATCATCATGCCCCTTATTTTATGTTAAGGGGCACTATGATGGGCACATGTTATTTTAAGGGGCACGCTGATGGGAACATTTTATGTGAAGGTGCACTCTGATGGGCAAAACATAGAATGTGCCCATGAGAGTGCCCCTTAAAGTAAAATGTATCCATCAAAATGCTCCTTAATATAAATGTGCCCATCAGAGTGCTGTTAACATAAAATGTGCCCATCAGCATGCCCCTTATTTTATGTTTACGGGGCACTCTGATGGGCACATTTTATGTTACGGGCACTCTGACGGGCCATTTTATATTAGGGGGCATAAATGGGCACATACTGTGGAAAGGGACACTCTGATGGGCGCAAGTGATGGAAAGGGGCACTCTGATGGGGAACATGATGTAAAGGGGCACTCTGATGGGGAAATATGATAGAAAGGTGTACTTTGAGTGTAAGGGGGCACTCTGATGGGAATACCTGATGTAAGGTGGCAATGTGATGGGGATACCTGATGTAAAGGGGCACTCTGATGGGGACACGTAATGTAAGGGGGCACACTGATGGGCACACCCTATTCGGACCTCAGCCAGAAGACAATTTTAGTGACTGGGCCTCCTTGAATTTTAATTCAATACCCCTGCTCTAAGGCTTTGTTCTTGGACCCCTTCTCTTCTTTATCTACACCTTTTCTCATGGTCATTTAATAACCTCCCATGGCTACCAATACCATCTCTACTCTGATGACACCCAAATCTATCTCTCTACTACTCACTTCACTCCTTCAGTCTACTCTTGATTTACAAATTTACTAACTGACATACCAGCCTGAATGACACTCTACTTCCTCAAACTAAATTTTTCTAAAACCATGTTTGTAATATTCCCCCCACCTGTGCCCCTTCCTCTGACTCCCTCAAGATCAATAATGCAATTATAAGTCCCTCCCCTCATGCAAGGGTGCTAGGTGTAATCCTGGACTCTGACCTGTTCTTTCAGCCCCAAATCCAATCACTATCCAAAGCTTGTAGACTTCACCTCCATAACATCTCTAAAACAGGTCCTTTTTTACCCAATGAAACCACAAGATACTCACTCACTCCCTTGTTATCTCTCGTCTTGACTATTGCAACTCCCTCCTCAAAGGCCTACTTCTACATAGGCTATCCCCTCTTCAGTCCATCATGAATTCTGCTGCCAGACTCTTCTACCTTGCCAACCAATCAGTGTCCACCAACCCCTATCTGCCAATCCCTCCACTGGCTTCCAATTGCCAAGTGAATTAAATTTAAAATAGTAACAACAACATATAAAGTCATCCACAACTACATCACCTATCTTATCTCAAAAGTTTACCCAAACTATCCTCTCTGCTCCTCCAAAGACCTCCTGCTCTCTAGTTCTCGTCTCCTCCTCCCATGATCATCTCCAGGACTTCTTCAGCGCTTCTCCCATCCTCTGGTACTCTCTGCCTCAGTCTGTTCAGTTATCTTCTACTCTGTTTACCTTTAAGTGATCCCTTAAATCTCATTTATTCAAATAGGCCTATCGTCCTGGATCTATCAATTGAATGTTTAATGTGTTCACTAGCTCATCCCTCACATTTATTACCTTTTGTACTCCTTGCCCCACCCTATTAGATTGTAAGAGCTTATGAGCAGGTCCATCTTAACCCTCTTGTAGTGTAACTGTACTGTCTCCTTTTATGTTGTAAAGTGCTGTGCAAACTGTTGCCACTGAATAATACATGTATAATAATAATAATAGTAAATGGTAGCTCTGAATATAAGTTCCACTGGCTTAGACCACACGACTGCATTGGCCACACCAGCCATTGGAGCACACATTTGGGTGATTTGAATAACAGGTACATATTTTAAGAGTTTTAGCCATGTGTTTTTACATTAGATGTGTATGGCATTGCAGCAGGAAGAAATATTTAAACTTTAGGTCCACTTTAGCTGCAAAATGGGAGGTTTCTCTAAATATAAGTGCCCCAAGCTCCTCTGGCTAAGACCACATATGTACTGCCACTGCATTGGCCACAGGACCAGCCACTGGTGCACAGCAACAGATACAAATTTCAAGGAGTTTAGCCATGTGTTCCTACTTCAGATGTGTAGGGCATTTCAACTGCAGGAAATACTTAGAATTTTTGTCCACTTTAGCATTGTAAGTTTATATAGAGTGAATTAGTCAAATAATAACCCTCTACTACTGTGTACACCTCCTACAATCTCCATAGACATCAAGAAATACATTTTCTGCAAAAAAAATGCTGCCTTTTAGATCCCTCAGCAGCTGATCAGATAACCACATGCCTGCTCATTTGTCATTTGATCTCTGTTCAAGGCTCAGCAGTCACACAAAGAGGCCCATAGCTGACTACACTTCCGCTGGGATAACATGAACAATTCCAAGGTTGTTGGTTATATGACCAACCACCATAGGATCTTGGAACAGTGGTTTCTTTAGTAAAGACATTTTATATTTTTAGACCCTTTATAATTTTAGGGGAGCAAAGTTGGAAAGGTTGTGGTAGGGGAACTTATTTAATCAGGATAAAAATAATACCAAACAACATAATATTTAGTAAGATGCACTTAGAATGTATTTATGTATTTATTTTTAATTTTGAGTTATGGAAATATCTGGCCTAAGGGTCAGAGGCTCGTTACAAATAAATACTAACAGATGGGCCCATTTTCTTTCTGAAAAAGAGCAGGTGCTTCATTTGGATGGAACTGCATTGCACATAATGTTAATTTTTTTGAACCACATAGCAAAAAAAATGGCATAAATCTTTGTAATGATTTATATTTTCTTTTCCAAATAGCTAATCAAAATAAAAATACAGAGGAAAATAGCTATAGGAAGCTATTCAAAGATCATATAAGGCATCCAAATTATTGATCTGTTTGCACCTTTTGATACCTAGGCTCTTGCTAGGTTAACAAACAAGAACATAAGGGTATTGGAGCCAATGTTCTTGGGAGATATAAATCACTATTTCGGGATTCAGTTTGTCAACATGCACAATAAATTTGCACACTTCTGGTCCTAATATAACAGCACAGCTATAAGCAAAATGCCCTGCTTTCCTGCTCTGGAGTGTAATATACAGTGTATATATATATATATATATATATATATATTTGTGTATATATACACTCACCGATCACTTTATTAGGTATACCTGTTCAATTGCTTGGTAACACAAGTTGCTAATCAGCCAATCACGTGGCAGCAACTCAATGCATTAATGCATTTAGGCATCTTGATGTGGTGAAGACAACTTGCTGAAGTTCAAACCGAGCATCAGAATGGGGAAGAAATTATGGATTTAAGTGATTGTGAACATGGCACGCTAGTTGGTGGCAGACAGGCTGGTCTGGGTATTTAAAAAACTGATGATCTACTGGGATTTTCACGCACAACCATCTCTAGGGTTTACAGCGGATGGTCTGAAAAAGTGAAAATATCTAGTGAGCAGCAGTTATGTGGAGGAAGAGGTTATAGGAGAATGGGCAGACTGGTTTGAGATGATAGAAAGGCAACAGTGACTCATGTCAATAAGGACCAAAATCTCTAGGAATGTTTCCAACACCTTGTTGAAACTATGTCATGAAGAATTAAGGCCGTTCTGAAGGCAAAAGGGGTCCAACCTGGTACTAGCAAGGTGTACCTAATAAAGTTGCCAATGAATGTATATACTGTATAAATATATCATATATTCCTATATAGAAAATACTAGGGGACCTTTGACACCTATACTATAGTTAGATGGGCCACAAGGAGTGCCAAATAAACATCTCTTAGAGTTCAAAAATATTTTTTTTATTCCACAAATGACCAAAAGGATAAAAGCATCTAATGTGTTTGTGAGAGCCCAAACAATCCCTCCTACAGCTCTGCACTGAGACAAGCATTCACGCACTGAATATTGTCCCGGCTTTGATTGATGTGTCAAGATCTTTACTCTGAGTCCATTAGATGCTGTTTTAAGCACTAAAGCCCTGATGAAGACAGATTGTTTTGGTCTCTGAAATGCTTTGGCTCAATTTTTCGTTTTGATCATTTGTGGAATCAAGAGAGAAATGCTTTTGGACTCTAAGAAATGTTTGTT